GGAAGCCCTGAAGATTAGCAAACACTAATCTTCAACAAAGGGAGAATTGAAATGTTGTTTCAATTCACAATCGATCATTAAGAGTAACAATCGCCCACTGCCTCGCTAATTGGAGCCTAATGGATCATACACCAAGTAAGGATGAAAGTGAAGAAATATAAATGATCTTTGAGGTAAGACATAATGTAACAGCCCATCCCTGAAAGTTATGGTTTTATAATTTTAATTTGTAAAATTACGAAAATACCCTAGCGACAAAGCATGTTTTTCGAGGACGTATGTGATTCTCGTATATTTTGTCATGTTTCTTGACATATTTGGATAGAGCTCGATCTTACGGACGCGTAGGTACACGTAAAAGTGAAATTGGAGTTATGGTAAAAGTTTTGTTGAGTTACAAACCTGAAAGTATTTGGAATGAATCACTATTTTAATTATCTTACACTATATTTTATTATTATTACAAAAAATGATTTTATTGATATATGTGTGTAGCTGGTGGAAGGGGGGATGAAGAGATTGGGTAGAGCTGCCTAATCGGATGAGAGAAGTGGAGAGGGCTGCTGCCCTATCAAGAAGAAGGAGATGAGGATTGGACGAATGGGAGAGAAAGGAAAGGAGAGAAAATGAGAGAAGGGGGTGCGGCCTGACCCGTGAGTGGGCGACCCGACCCGATCGGGTTTTCTTGCCATTTTCGACGAATTTTAGCCCTTTTTTCCGGCAAATCACTTCAAACCACCATTTTGAAACCCTCCATGACCTTCCCTCTCCCTATTACACCCCAAAAATCATGAAATTTGGCCTTGAATTTGGGAAAACCGCACAGGTGGGTGCGATGAATCCATGTCTTCGATTCCCCCAATTCTGAAGTGATTCCATCCAATTAATACCACCATTAGACTCCTCTTGAGGTCTGGAACAAAGCCCATTCATTGATTGGTGCGTCTGATTTGTTTTAGAGACGAATCAAGAACATCCAAACAAGGGTTTCCGGTGGTTCGTGGCCAGTTTGAGGTGTTTTCCGGCCAAATTGGCCTTGGCCGCAGATATAAAGGTTGCTCTACTCTTTGAGATCTTCATTTCTGTAATTTTTGAGAATTTTTAAAAATAGTTGAGTTTTTTGAATAAGCCGGGACTGCCGACCGCCGCCCATGGCGGCTGGTGCGGCGGCGCACAGCCAAGGAGTCGACATTGTGTTTTTATACGAATTTCGTTATTCTAATTATGTTTTTGAGACCTAACTGCTGTGGTTTGAACATTAGTATGATTGTAGTAGATGTTGGATTAAATGAAGATATTCGGTTTTGGTTTGAATTTTAGAAATGCAAACTACGAATGGCTTGATCCCTATTTAGGGTACGTAGGCAGTCTAACGAGACGTTAGATGCAGTCATACAATAAGTGAGATTAAATAATCGAGACAAAAGCCTTATTTGGGGAATTGAGCAAAGTGAAGGACATTGGTGGAAAGTGTGAGATTTAACCTTCCGTTTTGGTGGTTAAATTTTGGTCATAAATCAATGTGTGAGGAATCGAGAAATTGAAGTGAAAAATAGTAAGTAATGATAGTTAATTAAACTAGTGTTTAGTTGGGTTTATCACCGATAATTATTCCCTGAAGTAATAGTTCGAGAGTGGGGCGTTACAGCTTATGCGTTTTATGCCATATTATATATATATATATTGATATGATATTAACTAGCACTCAAATTAACCCTCTTTTTATCAATTGTAGTAAGTATGTAAGTAGGGATCGTTCTAGGCCGGGGATTAGGAGGGATTGCTACATCACTTGAAAACTGACTCAAAAACGTAAAAACAAAGTTTAAAACACTAAACTAGACTCAAATAATGTAAAACTATAACTTAAAACACCAAAACAAACCAAAAGACTCAAAATAACACAAAAACACTCAAAACTGCCTTAAAACCACTTTCTGGGTAGTTTTGAACTCTAAACAAGATTTTGACGAAAATAGGTTTTAACTTGACTCAAAACACTTAAAAACACAAACTAACACACTCTCTAACTAATTTGACACTTGAAAACAAAGGGGGATTTGTTTTTTACGAAATTGAAAACAAAACATAAACTTGTAAATCAAAACAGATTTTAAAACGAATTTGGTGAAAGTGAATGGATAGAAAGCTAGCTAAGGGGTTCATCTCCACACATGTTATACTTGCATTCAAAACGATTTCCAATTGCTTTTCAATAACCCATGAATTCTCAACGCCCCAAGTTAATTAGGTCCGCTTAAATTAACCTTCAGATTTTCCTAACGTTATTGAATTGGATGATTGCATACGACAACCCAAAGCATTCCCCACAAGTCCCCTACATGATTGCATAATAGAGATACAAGCAAGAATCATTAAGTTCTATGAAAACCATAAGCATTGACGAAGCACTTGTTACTATGATTGCATGAAACTTATGCCAAGAATTTACTTAACGCGATTGAGATCATCAACCTTTACTACTTATGAATATAAGTCCATAACGATTAGGTGAAATTTCCTTATATCCTAGCATCAAATTCATGCATGCAAATTAAGTGTCGACCCTCAACCAACATACACAAATCAGTTTTAATTCTTGTAGATAAGTAAATTGAATTCACAACTTATGAAACGCAATTAGAAGTAATCAAATCATATAGCAAGCATAAACATGGTTTCGAATCCCCCCTAGCCAAGGGGGGTTTAGTTCCTCATACTCGCAAAGCAAAGATACATAAATTTAGAAATTAAAATCCAAAGAAAGAAAACACCTAGAACGCTCCAACTTGGCAGCAAGCGCATCCAAGAATTCTCCTTCCTCCTTGCTACGGCAGAGAACTTTAGAACAGGTTTTGGGTGGTATTTATGGTGTAGAATGGATGGGGAATGGTATGGAAAGGTGTAGGGTTGATGGGTGGTGCGGCTAGGGATGATTTTGGGCATAAAATATGGAATATGGTGGTGGAAAGGTGCGGCAAAGAGAGCCTCTTTGTTTCTGACGTGAATCATGTATATGGGAGGTGATATATCCGGCCAAAAGGGTTTAATGAGTATATATAGGCACTTCAAAACCCTAGCAATCAGATTAGGGTTTCTAGAAGCCCAAATCCACCAGAAATTAGGTTAAAACAATCAGATTTTTAGTGGGAATAAGGCCTAAGGTGCGGCTAGGGTTAGGGTTTAGAGATGGGCCTTCTAGAATGCCTTGCAAGGCAAGGAAATCAGATATTCTAGATGCCTAGGTGCGGCTAGGGTTAGGGTCCACAAGGAATTAGGGTTTAGGTCATCTAAAAGCCCAAAGCCAAGAATAGAAACTCTCGAAAATGGAAACCTCCAAGAATAGAAACTTCCAACTTTAGAAACTTTGGTTTCCAAATCTGAATTCTTTGTTCTTCACTTTCATTTCTTCATTTCTTAAGCTCCTTTGACCTTCAAACTCGTCCATTCCTTGTGCTCCATTAGCATACACTCCATTCCAGCTCAATTTTGCTCTAAAATGCTCCATTTTGCACTTCTTTGCATACTTCGTCTCTAAACCTGAAATTGCACGAAAATGACTTTAAACACTAAAATAACTAAAGAAAAACAACATAAATGCTTAAGAACAAGCCAACTAAGTCGCATAAATATGCTCCTATCATATATATATATATGGAAATGTTATGATATGGTTGAATTTCATATTGCATTATGCCATATCCATAGGTATATTACCTGCACATAATTATTGTGAATGCTTTGAAGTGCGAAGGTGAACGCAGGACGCACAGGTAAGTTCAGGTGAGTTTATGGTATTGTTGAAATGATTGAGTTATGGCATGACTACATTTATGTTTTAAGCAAATCCGACATTGTCATACAGGTTGCCTATGAGTAGTATATGCCATATTAGATGCATTTATAGTTCATAAATCTACACCCCGGTGTTAGTGCTCTGCCCAAGGACAGGACCTAGCATTCACGTGATCGTTCACCTCCCGCACCACACGCTCACCTTGGATCCAAGGTAGGTGCCATTAATTTGAAATTAATATGGTAAAATAGTAGGTGGGTCATGTTGTACACATTGTAACATTGAAAATGCGAAGCTTGGTCTTGCTGGAATGCTGGGTTGCGACAAGTTTATCAATATACAATAAAAATATAGAATGCTATAGACATCAATTTATTTGTAAAAAGCAACGATGTGCTAATTAATAATATTATATGGCAAATGTCATGAAGAAATAAAAATATGGGATTGCAAGTGATAGATTGTTTTGATGAATATGATAATCTCTTTAGTATAGATTAAAGTAGTATTGTCGTTTGTGATACAAAAAAAAAAAAAAAACAATGCTTGGCTATTTAGGATGAGTAAGAACTTCTACTCAAGACTCTTTGTGTTCAAATCATAAAACTTTGTGCTAATGATCAAAGCCGTCCATATTATAAATCATTCTATAAAGATCATCTCTGCAAATAATGAACTAAAAATAAGGTCGTTTATTCAGTGTATTCCAACAAATATGTAACCGGTTCGTAATACTTTTACAAATTCCGTTCATCTGTTGTATAGTTCGATGACTAAATGACCTCAGCTTTAATTGATTTTTTGTAGAGGCGATATTTATAGAATGATTTATAATATGAACGATTCTGATTATAAGTATGAAGTTCTATGAATCGGCGAACAATTTTGAGAAAGAACTCCAACTCATTCTTTGAGTAGCCAATATTATTTTAAGAAAAATATAGAATACCCAACTAGCATTTTTCCTCACTCATATCATATAAGAAGTTCACTTTTTCCCCAATAAAGGACAAAGTAAAGAAATCAATTGGAACCCATTTGCACCCCAAAATTCACGGATATATAAAAAACCCTAAAGAGAAAAGAGTAAACCACCGAAAGTCTTCAACACTCATTTCAGCACTACTCATATCATATACATCACTCATTTATATAGCTATCACTTGGTTGGTCCAAATTACACAACAACAGAAACCAGTCAGAGAGAAGACTCATCAGAACCACAAGAAAGAACCCTAATTCCTCACACACACAAACATGCAGCCGGGTAATCATCAAAGCCAAGAACTCTACCGATTTCTTGCCCAAAACGGCTTAATCAGCGTGAATAATGATCATCAGTTGTCAGCTATGCAGAGCTTTTGCAGCTCTTCTTCTAATAATTATAGTTATTACCCTTTGGAGTTGTCTGGGGTTAGTACTGAACATGACGCCTCGCCTCAGGATAGAGCCCTTGCTGCTCTCAAGAATCACAAGGAGGCCGAGAAAAGAAGGAGAGAGCGAATCAACTCCCACCTGGATAAGCTTCGAGGCCTTCTTCCTTGCAATTCCAAGGTACCTATCTATATACATACTCGATTATTATCAAATTTGTTGTTCTTATTTTTGTGGTAATATTTATCAAATTTGTTTTTGCAAAGTTAACCGGTTATAATATTGTTGTTGTTTAATTTACTATTGGTTTCGCTTTGAAGTTTGAAATTTTGAGCTTTGACGCCTCCTAGTTTACTTTTCTTTTCCGCTAGATCGATCATTTTTCACTTCCACAATCATTTTTTTCTCTTTGTTGACTACTGTTTTGTTGGTGAGAACCAAAAAAGTTGGCGAGAAAAGAGACTACTACTGGACCTGGAATCCTACTTTATGTTACTTTTGACCAAGGAAGCATAGATTTTACATTCATTGACTTAATGTACAGTTTTCTTTTTGTACTAATTAATTTAGATATTAATTAATTCATTCTTACGTACTCAATACCAACAAGAATCCTATGAATTTATGGTCACGAATTGCTTTTACAAATTACAATTGAGAATCTAAGTCTGGGATATATTCAGTCTTTTGAAGCTTTTGATTGTTCAAATTGTAAGTACGGTGGCACATTCCGTTTCTGAAAAAGAAAAAGGGATCAATATGGTGTTGTAGTCAGACTCTGGTCTTTAGGGTAAATGCTTATCTGGGAAAGTTGCTGAGCTTTTCACAACTAGGGTTTCTTATCTTTCTTCTTCCTCCTTTAATTTTTTTTTTTATTTTAAACAAAATTTTCAGACAGACAAAGCCTCCCTGTTGGCCAAGGTGGTCCAGAGAGTAAAAGAGCTGAAACAACAAACGTCAGAGATCGCAGAGCTCGAGACCTTCCCTTCTGAAACTGATGAAATCACTGTACTTTCTTCTAATGATTATACAAACGACGGAAGAATTGTTTTCAAGGCCTCTTTGTGCTGCGAGGACCGCTCCGACCTCCTACCTGACCTAATTGAAATTCTAAAATCCCTCCATTTGAAGACAATCAAAGCTGAAATTGCCACTCTTGGGGGAAGAATTCGCAACGTGCTTATTGTTGCCGCAGATAAAGATCACACGATTGAATCAGTCAACTTCTTGCAGAATGCGTTGAAGTCATTACTTGAACGCTCCAACTCTAGTGAAAGATCGAAAAGAAGACGCGTATTAGACGGCACAATAGTCCTATAATTAGTAGTAGTACTTATTCCTAATTTCAATATAAACTTTGGCTACTATTCTATATATGTATTTTCTTATATATATATATATATATATATATATATATATATATATATGTAATATTATTTGGAATTAGTTGTGTGGGTTTGTTTTTAATTAATTCCCATGAGAAACATCGATGGGAAATGAAAGTAATCAACGGGGTTCAATTTGTTGATTTAGGGTTTTGGATTTTGAAAGTACCGCTTTTGCAATGCATGCATGTGATATTTGTATTCATGTAAGTTTGCAGAAATATATTTGATGAATTATAAGAATCTGACGAGTTTATGATCATGAAGTAGATAGATATTAGTGCACCTAATGTTGAATACAATGCTTATTGCGAACAACTTATATGCACATGCATATTGGTATTGCAGTATTGCAGTGTCCCGTGTTAATAGTACAATACTAAATAGAAAAAAAAAAAAAAAAAAAAAAAAAAAAAACTTACACATCATTGTATTGTTAGCATGGAACACAATGATACCAGTATATGCGTGACATGTAAGTCTTTCGGTAAGATATATAAATGCTTATGTAAGTCTACAAGCTCAAAATTGGAAATTACATACGTAAAACAATTATATACATTTGACTAGAGTATTAGCTAGCTGTCTCTGCTGCATGTATATGAGAGCTAGCTGAGCTCCTCTGAAATCTGGATTCTGACCTTATATAAACTGATTCTCAAGAAAGCATGTAAGGGGTTGTGAAATTTTTGGTACATATATATGGATTTCAATGAGAGATGATATGTTGACACTGAGAAAGAGTAAACATTCTCACACCAACCAAGGAGGACCTTTCACTAGTACAAAAAACAGTTTGCGCGACGCATGTACCTTCGTCGCGCAAAGTCAAAAAACGTTGCTTGATAATTAGCCCAACGACATCTTCATCGTGCACAAACCGTCGTGCAAAGTCTGCAAAAACAGGGCTTGCACAATGAAAAGATAACATGTGTCGTGCAAAAGGCCTTTACGCGACAACAGTACCTGTGTCGGCAAAGTCCTTTTGCCCGACGACAGCACTTGCGTCACGCAAAAGGCCTTTGCGCGACGAGAGAACCTGTGTCGCGCAAAGTCTTTTTTTTCTTTTTCTTTTTTGGCAAAAATACTTTTTATTTATTTTTTTATAAATATTATAATAAATTATAAACAATAATTAATAAACCAAGAAAAAATATTTAATTATAAAATATATGAAAATTTACACACAAGATGTTCGAACATAAAAGTAAAAACTACAAGAAGCAGTACAAATAAACAAGCCGAATTGGAACCAGCGATATAAATAAAAAGCTTACAAGTGAACAAACTAAAACTCTAGAGAGCAGGGAACCCAAGTAACTCCTCTTATTTTCCAGCAAAATTTTAGCTGCTCCTTGTCATAACTTCTTCACCAAGAGATCGTCACCATGTTCTGGCTCTTCGACCAATCTAAGAGTAGGCGCATGGCGGTACTTGGGAGAAAGCGAGAAGGGGAAGTTGGATACTATGAGTTCAACCATGGCAAAGTTCTGTCCGAGACACACTCAAGGACCAACTCCGAATGGCATGTACAGGTGTGGAAGCTTGCAAGCGCCTGTGATCCCATTCGCAAACCTGTTGGGGTTGAATGCATACGAATCTGGTCCCCATAATTCCGGATCAGTGTGCAATGTTATCACCATTATCCAAACATTGATAACCTTTGGAACCTGAATGTCCCCGAACTTCATGTCCTTGAAATCCTCCCTTGACACCACACTAACCGGGGGATATAGGCGCAATGATTCATGAATCACCATTGTTAGCTGCACACATCATTCAAACAGTCAAGTTTATGGTAACTGATACGTGCAACCCAAAAATTTAAATGTAAATGAGATTAAAGACTGGGCGTTGTATACTACTATGCAAGACTTTCTTGAGATTATCTCAAAACATGTAGTTTTCGAACATGGAAAATTCTAGACGTTGATCATGTAAAACGTATATCTTAATCAGGGAGTTATATTGTACTATGTCTTAATAATAAAACATGGGTAGTGCTATTCACACACCCTTTTTCACCTCCCACACACGTTTATTAAGATCGTATACCTGTTTCATGTTGCGAACCATTTTGGCATCTGGAATGTGGCCCTGGCAAACTTGAAGGGCCTCTGCTCTCACATGTTCTTGCCATTCTTGGTTTGAAGCCAACAGCATGAGGCACCATGTGGCTGAAACTGCTGTGGTTTCATACCCGGTATGTTCTTGCAGTTATCAACGATGAAGCGGTCTGTTTTTTTTTTCCATTCAAATTAAAAGTTAAAAAGTAATAGGTAAAGTAGAAAAAATCTGGAAACCATTTTAGGAGTAGTGTGATGAGAAAAATAAATGGTGCAAACAAATGCATCCAATCCCCTAATAGAACGACACCTCAATAGTTGGAACACACCTCACGACTAGCAAAGTAGTCGAAAGATGATTTACCAATACCAGAAAAATATTATGCATAAGTACAAAATTCATAACCCGAACAATCACGAAACCTAGCAATGTAATGTAGGAAGAAAATATAACAAAATGTCACATAATTGGATATGAAGCACGAGGATGGATTAGTCGGGAGATAGAACGACGATTGGAATAAATATTTTCATCATAAAATTGAAATTCTGGAAAGCCCTTTCCAGTTACAACAGAAAAACCTCCAACTAAAACCCTAATTCTTCTTCTTCTTCTTCTCCTTCATTCTCTCTCCTCCTCCATCAAAACCCTCCCAAATCCTACATACAATTTGAACCCCTAATTTGAATTGCATTGATACATTGCTTAAAATTCACAAATTTGCACAAATCCTTATTCTTCTTCTTCGTCTTCTTCTTGTTCCAGACACCCAAAGCTAGTTAAATTCTAACCTTATGAATCCTACTACAAAGAAATTTCTTCAAACAAAAGAACTCCAACTCTCTCACCTCTCCCCTAAAACCACACAACCAACAACAACAAAAATAGCAAAACAGAGACATACACATATTTATATATACCAACAAAACACACCACCACCAGCCACCGACAACCGACGGAACTCGAACCGAATCGGGTTTTTCAACGCTGGTAGCCTTCTCTCCGACTCGAATTGCCGTGCCCTCCTCTCACAACACCATCAACATCTTAATATTCGATTTTCTAATTTAATTTTCCAAATTGAATCTAATTACAATACCAAAATCTTCAAATTAAGGGATTAAAGCGTGATTTTGACCTTAGAAAGAAGAAAAATTAAGAATTAAGAAAATATAGTTACCTGCTGTCTGGGTGCGGTCGAGAGGGATGGAAAGAAGATGAGGAGGAAGGCTACGGAAAAGAAAACAAAAGAGACGGAGTGAGAGAGAGAGGGCGAGATGAGCGAGAGGGAAGAGAGAGACCAAGTGTGAGACAGTGAAGAGAGACGTCTGTGAAAGCGTTTTTGCTATCTGGGAAATTTTTTTCCAAATTTGGGAAAATTTAAAAAAACCATCTATTTTTTACAGTTGCACCACCAAAATTTTAACAAATTGAGCGACGCAAGTACACATTATGACGACGTCATGCAAATAACCTTTGCGTGACGCATTTGTTGGTGCATCACACAAACAGTCTTTGCGTAACAAATTGGTTGGTGCGATTCGCGCAACGACGTCATGCAAGTTATATATTTTTTTTTAAATATTATAAAATTTACTGAAAATGTGACTTTACTCCTTTCAAATTCATTTTTTATATAAAACACAATAATATATTTTTCTAACAAAAACCCGATCCGAACTACAATAATAAATTTAAAGGTAAATTACACTGTACCTCCTCAGGTTTGGAATCTATTATAATCGCATACAACATCTTCAAAACATTTCACTTTCATACCTCAACTACTATTTTATTTCAATATATTACATTCGTTACATTTTCCATCCATTAATCTTTTAAAAAACTGACTTGACTACCAAATGTGTGCCACGTGGCAATTTTTTTTTTATTCATTTAAAAAATAGTATAATAATTTATCCTTAAAAAAAATAAAAAATAAAAACCCACCTCCACGCATCCCCCCCTGTGCAAACAAACCCAAAAATCTTCCCCCCTGACTTCTGCTGCTACAACCATTTCCACCCCAACCTGCTGCAAATGCAGAGCCCAAACTCCATGGTTGCCCCTCCGCCCTCATTCTCCAACATCTCTCCTCCCCCACACTACCACCCAATTTGAGCTATGCCATAAAGCTCCAAGAAAGAGTCTGCCAGGCAGAACCTAGAGAGAGAGAGTTTCCCACTCTTTCATACTCCTCCTTCGATGGCCTCCACGACTGTCATTATCACAGCCAACCGCAACAACCAATCTTCCATCTTTTCAAACCCTAGCACAAAAGTTACAACATTTTTCCCAAATTTAATTATTGCAATTAAGCTTTCCCATTAATTTAATCATTATATAAAACCACATCACACCCAAAAACTGATGTAGTTGCACATGAAGTTCAAAGGTAAGAACCCTAATTATTTTCCCCAAATTACTCAAATCCCCATCTAGGTTCTACTCATTTTTCGATTCTGCAAACTAGGTTTTGCTTATTTTTCGATTTTCCTAATTTCCCCCCAAATTACTCAAATCATCATCGCCCACATCTCCCCTCTCTTCTATTTAAAGAAAACTTAAAAAAAAAAAAAAAAACCCATATCTTCCCACCTAGCCACCACCCCCATCACCACCGCAGAGCTCTCTCGTTTCCAGTTTTCAATACTGGAAATAATCAATTAAACCAAATTAAAATTTTTAAAATGAAAAACAAGATGTAAAAAGCAAAAAGTAGATCTGTAATTGCAGATCTTCAATTACAGCCTTCAACCTACCTTTCCACCTAACATCCTGTACACTTACCCTTTCCCTCTTTTCCTCCGATCTCAATGAGCTCCACCATCAAACGAATATGCAGCTGATCGTGCCATCGCTCACACTAGAGCCGCCAAAGACGAAGTCGTGGAGTCTAAGGACGAAGAGGACTCCAATCGGCGACGGCGATGGTGCTAAGAGGGTGAGAATCGAGGAGAAGAAGGCGAATTAGTCCGCGTTGAGGAGTGAGCGTAATAATGGCATGAACTCGCCAAAGCTGGTAAGAGGAGAGGGGCTTTAGGTTCGGGTCCGGAGAATAAGAAGGAGAAGGAGAAACCCCTGAGTTCTTATCAACACTCATCAAAAAGGAGATCGAGGAAGATTTGAAGAAAGATGCTCAGACGTTGAAGGGCGAGAGATGGAGTTGTTGAAGGGGAAAGGGTGGTCTGATGTCGACGAGGAAGGATTTCTGGGTTTGGATTTTTCTGGTTGTTCTTGTATTTTTTTTTTTTTTTTTTTTTAAAATAAGGTTAATATTATAATATTTTTAATGTATAAAAAATTATTCTTATTTGCCACGTAGTAGCCATATCAGCACAAATGTGGCAGCCATGTCAGCATTTAACATACCAATAGATGAAAAATCTAACGAATGTATTATTTTGAAATAAAATAGTACATGAGGTATGAAAGTAGAATGTTTTAAAGATGTTGTATGGGGTTATAATAAACCTCAAACCTGAGGGGTATTATGTAATTTACCCTAAATTTAAAACCACTTAATAAATATATATATCATTCAATTTCTTAAGTGTTTTAACAAAATAAATAAAATTAAAGCTACTTTATAAATACATATATCATTGAACTTGATGGGATACGCATTCCACAAAACTAGTTTTAACGATCTAACCATCAAACTTGTTTGTATATACTTTGAGATTGCATAAGCCAAAAATCGCAAAAAACAAACTTTCAGATATCATGTAACGGTACAAAACTTTTTGACGGTTATAAACAAAAAATCACAATTTAACAGTAGTTTTAATCCGATTTTGAAGATTTTTTTTATAGCTACACTCATTGATCCTATATGAATACAATGAATGAATTCGATCTTCAATTTAAAATATTTACACCAATGGATACCACAAAATTTTATGTTATACTTAATGAAAGTATAAATAAACTCTAAGTGTTGGTGAATCTATCATTTTGATGGGATACGCATTCTACGAAACTAATTTCAACAATTCAACCGTCAAAGTTGTTTGTATATACTTCAAGATTGCATAAGCCAAAAATTGCAAAAAAAAACAAACTTTCAGAGATCAAAGTAACGATACAAAACTTTTCGACGGTTATAAACAAAAAATCATGATTTAACGATTATTTTAACTCCGATTTTGATGATTTTTTACAGCTAAACTCCTTGATCCTATATAAATACAATGAACTAATTTGATCGTCAATTAAAATATTTACACAAGTGGATACCACAAAATCTTATGTACATAATGAAAGTATAAATAAACTCTAAGTGTTAGTAAATCTATCATTTTGATGGGATAAGCATTCTACGAAACTAATTTCAACTATCCAACCATCAAACTTGTTTGTATATACTATGAGATTGTATACGCAAAAAATCGCAAAAAACAAACTTTCAGAGATCAAGTAACGGAACAAAACTTTTCGATAGTTGATGAGGCGATATTATACTATATATTTGACCCTATTCTTAATATTAATTTATTAGTCATTTTGGTAGAATTTTGATACTTTGTTATGTATTTACAATGTAGGACATTTGACTTTCTCTGGAGCAAAAAGTGATCAAACGGATGAATTTTGGAGTAATTCTAATTGGAGGATGTTCACGTGCCTTTCAATATGATTGTGTCAAAATTTCATATTTTTCTACCAAGCCATTTGACCGTGATGAAGAAAAGAATGCCCAGCACGCAGCTTTTCTAGATTGACGTTTTTGGACGTTTTGGGTATTTTGAAGGTCACGATGATGTATTTTTAGGAAGATTCCTTCTGAGAATTGGTAGGAGGCGTCTTCAGCTTTAAAAAGAGACATTTTGTCACATCCCCGCCCGAGGTCCACCACATACCGGGCTCGCTCCACCATCATAGCACGATATTGTCCGATTTGGGTCCCGACCACGCCCTCATGATTTTGTTTCTGGAAACTCACACGAAAACTTCCCAGTGAGTCACCTATCATGGAAGTGCTCTCGTGCGCTACTCGCTTAACTTTCGAGTTTCGATGAACTCCAAAGCCAGTGAGCTTCCAAAAAACCTCGTGCTAGGTAGAGATGAGAATATACATATAAGGCTTATAGGATCCACTCCCCTGGACGATGTGGGATGTTATACCTTTTGGGACCAAATCAGAGTTTATTTGGTCAGTCAAAAGTGTGATTTTCTGATAAGTCCGAATTTTAGTTTAAATAGGAAACCTTTTATTTTCTGTTTTATTATTTTATTATGTTTCCTAGTTTTATTCTAAGACCTTTTTTAGAAAGGATTTTATTTTGTAGTAGTATAAATAAGGCTTTTTTAGCCATTAGGGAAGAGAAGGGGGAGAAGAGAATGAGGTGCAAGCACACGCACTTTGGCTTTAGAGAGATTTGACGATTCAAGTTTATTTTCAAAGTGTTTTCTATCCATGTTTCTAATAATATTTTATTTTATGATTATTCGTAACTAGTTTCATTTGTTAGGGCGAGACCATGAGCCTTAGTAAGAATATGTAGTTTCTTTTCAATTTACTTATGATATTATGCATGCAGGTTTTGAATGGTTAATCATTGTGCTTTAAACTATCTATTTGTCTTAGTGATTGGTCACCATTAAGGTATTTAGAAAAGTAATTTGATGTAATTTTGGCGGAGGGTTGTTCCTGAAATTGGCGCTAGCTTCTTGTGGTTAAAATGTGTAACTTCTTAGGATGGACGACACGTCTTAAGGGTTGTATGGTTTTTCAAAAGGTTTTCACAAACTTAATGAGTCTTGCATGTTCACATTCGATTTGGACGCCACGAACAGATTGCATGTTGATATACGTTCCATGTTGGAGATTCCAAGTAGGACATACTTTAGAAAAACTTAACCTTCAAAATATGCATGTGTAATTCATAAGTAATTAGAATAACTACGTAGGATTGTTAAGATGACGGCGGAACCCTAGTGCTCAAATTTATTTTCTTTTGTTTTATTTACGTTGTCAATTTATATAATTATTTTAATTAAATTATTTTTAATATTTTAGGTCATAAAATCAACCTCTTCCAAACTTTTTTTTTCAAATAATAATTAAATTCGTTTTTTATATTTTAGGTCATAAAATCAACCTCTTCTAAACTTTGTTTTCAAATAATTAAGTAAGATTTGGTTTTAACATAAATTATTCATTCAATCCCTGTGGAGATCGATTTTGCTTGAGCTACTATACTACGATAACCTTGTACTCTTGCAAGTATTTTTAAGTGTTTTTATCCCTACTTTTGCAGGTGGTAAAAAGCCCTATCAACAGTTATAAACGAAAAATCACGATTTAACGGTTATTTTAACTCCGATTTTGATGAATTTTTACAGCTACAATCCTTAATCATATATGAATACAATGAACTAATTCGATCGCCAATTTAATATTTACACAAGTGGATACCACAAAATCTTATGTTATACATAATGAAAGTATAAATAAACTCTTAAGTGTTAGTGAATCTATCATTTTGATGGGATACGCTTTCTACGAAATTAGTTTCAACGATCCAACCGTCAAACTTGTTTGTCTATGCTTCGAGATCGTATATGCCAAAACTCGCAAAAAACAAACATTCAGAGATCAAGTAACGGGACAAAAAATTTCGATGGTTATAAACAAAAATCACGATTTAATGGTTATTTTAATTCCGATTTTGATCTACACTCCTTGATCCTATATGACTACAATGAATGAATTCGATCTTCGATTTAAAATATTTACACTAATGGATACCACAAAATCTTAAGGAAGAAATAATTTAGTTTTGGAACCATTCATTAAGGTCTACAAAAAGTGACTTTGCGCGATGAAGGTGGACCTCCGTCACGCAAAGTTATTTTGAGCAACGAATGTACACCTTCATCGCACAAAGCTGTTTTGCGCGACGACAGTC